TCATTTTGATTTCCTAGTTAGTTTTATTTAAATAAAATTAAATAGCTATTTAATAATTTATATAGACTAAGCTATATATAATCCAAATCCGATTTGTATTCAATCAGATTTAAAAATTTAAAATTCGATTTGATTTGAATCTGATCAGTTTAAAAATTTTAAAATTCGATTCGATTTGATTCATATCTGATTTGCAGATCATTTGGATTCAGATAAAAACTGTAATCCTTACTTGTGTAAATCTTTGCATTATCATTTTGATAAATAAGAGTAATATGCTATTTATTTTCTAGAGTGATTTTAAATTCTTTAAGATTATTTTAAAGAATTTTGATATAATTATCAGAATTCAAGTTTCCTTTTTTGCAAACTACTAGCAGTTCTAATCGATTACCTATGAAACAACTCCAAATCATAATTGATTTGCAACCACTTTTGAAAATAGGTTTTAAGCAATCAAAATTATATCACTCATTAGATTTTTGCTATATTAATTCATACTGAGAACTTTGACCTATTTCTACACTAGATTCGTTTGACCAAATAATGTTATTCCATTCAGGTATAGTGTTCCAATTAATATGTTCTTTATATCAATTCATTTGTTTCCTTTGATTTTCTTTTGAAATATATGGTTTTTTAATTGCAATATAAAAACTAATTTCATTTTTATGAAGATAATTACAAATTGTTGTTTTTGAAACTTCAAGACCAATATCAATGACTAATTAATATGAAGAAACATATCTATTTTTTATTGTATTATGGATAAGTAATTGCTTGTGTCATTGTGTAATTGCAGGAGAGTGACCAGAGTGTGATAGATTTTCTATAGTGCCTGTTTTTTTATATTTTTTAATAAATGATCTAACAGTACTATTCGACATTTCCATTTTTCTTGTGATTTCTGCGATTTTCATGTTATTTTTCCATAAAGCAATAATACCGCCTTTTTCATCAGGTCTTAATTCTCTAGTTTTGACCATATTTTATTTCGAATTACTAATAAAAAAAATTAAATTTTGTTATACTGTACATAGTGTATGTAAATGAAAAAAAAAATAATTGTGACGTCATATTTTTGTCATAACAGATAAGTGAAACCTTCACGTGTATAATAGGCGTTTTTATTTTGGATCTAAAGTATATAAGTGGTAGTTGCTCTTCCCTACTGTAAGGTCTCTTTCTGAACTGAAATTATTTCCGCCACGAGAAAAGTCTTCCTACCATGGGAAAGGTCTCTTTCCTAACCTTTTGCCAAGCTAAAATCTTTCCTGCCGTAAGAAAAGACCTTACCGAACCGAATTCTTCCCCACCGCAAGAGAAGCTCTTTCCTAATATCTTACCGAACCACCATCTCCCTCGCCATAAAAAAACTTTACAGAAATAGATAAGTGTTGTTTATTCATTACGTTATGTTTCGGTCGAGGCTAGTCTGTGATGTAGGTAACAAGGTCCACGGGTCCCGCATGAGGGATCGGTTATGCACCTTCCTTGCGCAACTGCCTCACGGGCAAGTGGTAGAAGTTTGTTGCCTATTGTTAGTTGAGCTAAGAGACGGTGATAGTTTATTCGAGGTTAACTAATAAAAATAATTATCGAAACTTTTTAATAGGAGCAATGGGTCTTAGCCTCGAATAAACTATCATCTCTTTTTGTGATACTTGCTTTAGTGTATTCTGGGCTTCTATTACGAACCCCCTGTCACACTCATTTTTTTTTATAGCGTTGTGGGCGTAACCAGTAATTAGTCGCAAATTCGGAGCCGTCCTTCGCGTTATGTACGATTAAAGGTAAACAATCTAAAGCATTTTTTACTTTCGAGTTTGGCCGGTTTAAACTTTTCTATTAACTATTTTAACACCCAGTTCCCTTAGGATCGATCCTTTCGCTTAGTCGCGTAGACGAGTTACAAATATTTAGTGCACACGTAAAAAAATGTAAGAGTTTATTTTAACTTTAATGGTTTATTTATTATTAGAACGTGAATGTTAACTAACTCTACGTGCTATCGAATCACGCATATAATTATACATCTCTTTACTATTCTATACTATTCTAGAAATTCCTACCTAAATTTCCTCGCCATTCGCGACAATAGGATAACGTATCATTATATCGCACTCACACCTGTGCCACATTTACCTATGCCGCGAAACCTCTACGGTGTTTAAGAATTAAAATAAACATAATTATGCGAATTTTTTAAGAATAATATCGATTTTCAGTAGACTATAAATAAAAAGTTTTCTATTACAAATTTAAACTTTTAGATTTGGTTAATAACGTTTACCGGAAATTGTGAAAAATTTTAAGAACTAATAAATCTTCTAATATCGCTATAAAACTTGTCAACGTATAAAAATGAGATCGAGGAAATTTTAATTCGGCATTAACGCGCTTACTTACGCAGGAACCTCATTTACATAATGAAGAGCAGTAATCATGTGATCTTGTCGCGACTCGTTGGAGACGAGCGATTATTATGAATATAAGTAATGGAATATAAACCACTTGACCTGGCCACGGCACAACAATAGTGTTCCGAATGGGTCAGGTCAGATCGTTTGCTTACGTAATAATTCCGGGTTGGGACCCGTTTGACCCGTTAGTGAGTTTAATTAAACCTTGATTTTGTAAATTGAATTGGTGCCTCTAGGTTCGAATATTTACAATTAATATGCTCTTTTATAAAACTAGAAATCCTTTTTTTGCTTAAGTTCGGTTCCGATAATCATGATTCAAACTCGGAAAATTTGATCTCAACCAGTAAAACGAACAAAATGGATAATTTTAGTAATTTGTGAATCGAATTATAATTATCAACATATATTCTTGCGTTATAGTTTCCGTTCCGAGGTCATCATGCGACAAAGTTATTGAAATGCATGAAAAAGGCATAATCGACTTGTCATAGTGCCCGATGGATAGTAAAAATTTCAACTTCTAATGTGATGGCTCTGATTTGAGTCGTAGCGTAAGTGACAAAGTATTTTTTCTTATCAAAATTTTAATTTCAATATACATAAGATATGGAATTTAGGGAAAGGTGTTAGTCATTTGTTGTCTACAAAAAAAATTTTCTTTTCATAAATAACAAATAATTATGTCCGTCAGCTGAGGTCGCTAAGAGGTGGAAGCGGTCAGACGTTCTTAAATATTTGAAGTCCAAGCAGGATGAGATGGATCTGGATGACGAAGATATAAAAATTATTGAGAAAAATAAGGTCGCCGGTCAAGTTTTCATTTCCTTGACAGAAGATAAGCTTTTAGCCCTTCCATATAACCTTCAGCCGGAACCATAGCACTTTTGATCAAGGCACTTAACGGTGAAGTACAAGGTAAGTTCACGGCCGTATTTTCTCCAAATAACTTATTGTCTTACATCCCCATCTCTAGTACCGGCATCTCTCCAGGAACCAGAAACTGCTGAAGATTTTGAAAAGACGTGTATTAACGAACTCCCTCATAATCCTATCTCGACTTCTGAAGAAAATTCAGTTGGCACTCACTTGCCCGAAAATGATTTACCCGAAGCTACCCGTATCAATAAACAATCTCATGATCTCGTTAACGCTGAACATGATTTACAAATTGCCAAAGCTATTGAAAAGACTCATGATCCTATATCGATTTCTGAAGAAGTTGACGCTCACTTGCCTCTGGGCTCCTCCGTTATTATGGTAAAGATTTGCAAATATATCATTTATTAGTAAGATCCTCTTGTTTGTAAAGTATACTGTATGTCTTCATTTTTCATATTTTGGTAGAACTTTGGAATTGTCACTATACCAAATGGTCAGGCCTCAACGAATTTTCTAATCATTTACGTGATGTTAACAAAGATCGTGTTCATAATTCGTTTAAGATGGAAATAAATGTTTTGCGAAAGCTGTTTGCAGACGAACATCCAGCACAAATGCACCTTTCACAGTTGGAGGCTCAATTAAAGGTGATACTGTTTTTTATGTAAGAAAAAGAAATAGTTTGAGGACCGACAATCTACGCAGGCTGTGTGCTTGTAGGCAAGCTGTGTGCTTAGTGGACGAGGTGCATCCTCGTTCGTATATTAGTCTAATATTTAGGCTAATTCCAGATTGATTTTCGTGTCTGATTGCATTTTAGCGAATAAAAGTTTAAGATTATAATCTTGGTGCAGGGTGTCTCCTTGTGAGGCGAGGTGCGCCCTCGTGAGATTGGATGTGTCCTTATCTCCAAAAGTGCAATCTTCCAAACTGTTTCATATGCTTTGTATTTTAATATTTTCAATAATTATTTTCACATTTGTTAATTTCAGACGAAACAGATGCCACGAAAAATGAAAAAGACCTATAGAAGAAAAATATCGAAATTAACAAAAATGCTTGCCAAGAAAGAAGTTGTAAAAGAAGAAATAGAAATCGCAAAGGTTCGAGTTTTTTAATTCTGTTATTGCTTGCGAATGCATATTAAACTCATTTATTACAAATATTTTCTAGAATTCTGTGATTGCAAAGGGATACCATCGGATAAATAAACATTATGAAGATTACCATGAGGCGAGCACTCAACTCGTTAAACGAAATTTGTCTGATGATGGAAATGAGGTGTCTCTGGCTACAAAAAGAGCGAGAACCACGAAATAACTAGTTTCTCCCCGAATCATGTGTCATTAGTTTTAGTCTGCACTCTTAACCAAATGCGTGTGGATTGTCTCCGTAGTCGCAATGTGAATAATAAATAAGTAGAACGTAATTTTTTTGCATAATGATAACGTGTCAGTAATTTGCGTGTGCCCAATCACAAATTGCATTTGAAGTTTTAATTTTACTCAATAAGACCCAATTCTCGAAGATGCTCTGGGATAACTATATATGGGTCTTCGTAATACCAGACATACAGTGGTGGCAAAAAAAAATGGCAATTAAGTGATATCATTTAATTTATTCAATATTTATTTATTTATTTTAAGATTTTCGCTATAACTAACCTAAAATATGTACATTATTTTTTAATATTTAGTTTTGCCCCCTTTCTTGTCTATAACCAACTTAAGGTGCTTCGACATGGATCTTACCAGTTTTTGACATAATTTCACATCTATTTTTTCCACTCCTCTCTTATTAATGACATGAAAATCTCTTGTGATACGGTTTTTTTTTCATAGATTAGATTGTTGACCCTCTTCTCCACCCTTTTTTTCATAACTGATTATAAATTTTCAATCGGATTAAGATTGGGGGATGATGATGGCCAGTCGAGCACTTGAAGACATCGTTCTTCCAATAAAGCGATTATAAGCCTAGCATGATGCTTAGGATCGTTGTCTTGTTGGAACACCCATTTGTGTCCAAGCATCTGGTCTGCATTTTCGAATAAATTTTGAATAAGTATTTCACAATACAACTCACCATTCATAGTATCTGTAAAGGTATGAAATCCAACAATTCCTTTGTTATAGAATGCTCCCCACACATGCACCTTAAACAGGTGTTTCACGATCCTTTGACTTGGTCTTGGTTGTCCGGCTTTATAGCGGACCTGAACTGTATTTTGAAACATTTGGAATGTGGATTCATCAGAGAAAACTGTTTTATTTCAACATTTTTTCTAATATTTTTATGTTCAGGTAAGCTGACGCTTTTTGGCCAATTTCGTGAGAAAGGGGACCTTGCACGGAACATACACCTTGTACCCAAGTCTTTGAAGACCTTTTCGAACTGTTCATGGTGAAATATTAAGGTTGGAGTATGTATTGTTAAGCGTTTCTGCTATCTCCTAGCTAGTTGTATTTTTTTTTTTGCGGCAATCTGCCCAAGGTGTTTTTGTTGTACAAGGCTAAGTTTTCTTGGATGGCCTTGACGTTCACCTTGCTTTAGGTCTCTCGTTTGGGCAAGTTGATTGGCCCATCTGTATAACGTTCTGATCGAAAAACCAGTTATCCTTCGAGGTGTGACGACTTTCCTATATCCGCGCTCCTATAACGACTTGATAAGGAGACGTCGCTTTTCAAAAAATTTCATGTGTAACATCTGAAATAAAAAAAAACATTTTTTAGCAATGCTGATGTTGTAATGAACTTACCTCTAGCCATTTTTGGTATTGACACAACAGAAATAATTATCTGGTGACACAATTTCTAAAAAAAATAAAATTGCCATTTCTTTTTGCTATCATCATATCTTAAAATGATCCAGTTTTCTTCACATAATTCTTTCTTGAGTTGATCCTGTTCTTGCTGTTTAATGAAATTATTAGGGTTTCTTCTATGAAATAATTCGACATATTTTTCGTGCTGTTGTCCTTGTACTTTGATTGCAAAACCATAATTATAATATGAAATATCAAGTTGTAATCCAGTTGAATGTTCTGGTGTTTTTAAAAAATCTGGTCTACGATTTTCAGATGGTGGTCCAAGATATTTTGATACAATTTCACGACACAATTCTTCATGTTTATATTTGGAACAATATGGACACCAGGATCCACTATTTTTAATTTGGGAAAATGGAACAAACCATTCGTGATTTTTAGAACAACGCCAACGTAGTGGAATTTCACAATTGATATATTTTTCAGAAAGGCATTTGCTATTTTTATTATATGCATATTGCTTGATATATTCGAGGGTGTAAGGTTTTCTATGAGAACATTCTGGACACCATGATCTGCTATTTTTGATTTTACCAAATGAAGCAAACCATTTATGACCTTTAATACAGCATCATCGCAACTTAATACTATTATTAATATATTTATCGGAAAGGCAATTACCATTTCTGCTTCGAGCCACTTGCCTAGCATCTTCAATTGTACAACGTGCATTTCCTGCACAATGTGGGCACCATGATTCACTATTTATAATTTGAACAAGCGAAACTGTCCATTCATTGTTTTTGGCACATCTCCATTGCAATGGCATTACAGAATTAATAAAACTATTAGAAAGACACAGGCCATTTTGACTTTTGGCAATTCTATGTGCATCATTTATAGAATATTTAACTTGAAATGGCATACCCGCACAATGTGGACACCACGTTCCTAAATATTTAATATTTTTAAACGGAGTACTCCAAATATGGTTTTGATGACATTTCCATAACATTGAACTCTTACTATTAACATATTCTGTTGAAAGGCATTGACCATGTTTAGATACTGCGATTTGTATAGCATCTTCAAGAGTAAGCTTTACATGACCTGCGCAATGTGGGCACCACGATCCATGACATTTAACTTTTTTTTAGTAAAGCAGTCCATGTATGATTTTTAGAACAACACCATATTAATGGACTTTTTGTATTTTTATATTCTGTAGAAATACATATTCCACCACAAGATTTAGCAATACTATAAGCATCTTCTAACAATTATTTTCTCATTGAGACTAGATTTCTTTAACCTTTATCTTGAATTTATTATATTTAATTTATTATCATCCCTTTGGTCTCTGTGCTTCAGAATTAACATTACATTACCAATTATTATGGGCAGTTCAAAAAGAAATGCAACAAGTTAACAATGTATAGACCGTATCGGTAAAGCACTACATATATCTATTTATCTGATTAATACATCTATTTATTATATAACCTATTCATATATATTCCACCTTCTCGTAACTTTATCATTCGAAGCCAGAAAAATAGATGTGGAATATGTCACGTACAATAGATAACGACACATATCTTTTTTCCAAACATTTTTTACTTTGATTTCTATATACAGTACATTTATTTTATCCGACACAAAAAAATTCACTCGGTACAAATAGAATTTATTTATTTTTCAACATCTACTTCAATATCAATCAGGCTGGATACTGATAGCTATTTCATTGGAGAATAGTAGCAAATAAGATGTTAAACCATCACTTTAACTTCACATCTGCTGGATAAGATCAGCTTCTCAATAATATAAGAAGTGGCAGATAGATGTATTATATTGCTGTATTAATAAATAATGGAAAAAATAATTATCTCATTATTATGAATCACACTCTATTTATTAAAAAGATCGAGTACTTGGTCCCAACCTTTTCTAATATATAGAGAGTCTTCTTTTGCTCTAGTTAAATCGATAACAATAAATTTTTTACCTTGCAAATTTTTATCAAGTATATCGACAACATTGTGCCATTTTTTTGTATATCATTTGGCAATATTCACTAGCTCATCATATGTACCTGCACCATTGAAGAGAACAATATAATCAAGATTTTTTCTTATTAATCCTGAACAATCGAAAAAGTTTTGTGTTGTATATATATTATTAATGTTTTTATGACATCCTTCAGTAAAGTAACAAACAATTTTTTCTTGTATTTTTTTAGGTTTGGTACACACATCTTCAAATATAACAACTGTTTCTCTTTCAGGAGAGAAGTTATTAACTTTTGACATTTTATCAGGCTTTATTGCTCAAAACATAATATTTTCACAATGCGGTTTTGGACTGTTTGCAATTATTTTATAATAATCTTTCAGATATTTGTATTTCAACTCATTAATATAATGTCCAATCAAAACTAAATCATCATTCTTAATATATCTTGTTTCGCTTTTTTTCCTACTAAACAATCGATACATTTTATTTCCAAATAAAAGGTTAATAACTTTGTTAGTTTTTTCTAATCTGGTTCGTCCACTAACTAATAAGTTGAAAAGCCATTGAGGTGTTGAATTAAGACTGCTAAATCTCTCTATATTTTTGTATTCGTTAATATTCAAAACCATCCTTTTAACAAGGTTAAGCTTTTCTATTTTTATCTTGTCACTAATTATTATAACAAAAAATAATGGTATAGATTACTACTTATTCCTAAACAAAATTATATTTATCATTTTTGATTTATAAATTAAATACTACATATTACATAGCAATATAAAATGGCTAAACTTCGTGAACAACTTTCTGAATTTATAGGTTTTAAGTTCAATGAGATTTGTTTTTCAGAAACAGAAAGAGATTAACAACTATTTCAAAAAATTATTACAGATCAAAGAATAGCAACCAATATTGTGTTAGATGATTTTCATTTCTTGCTTTGTACTGGATATAATGGTAAAAGAGGTCGATTAATACATATCGTGTGATTAATATGTGTAATGTGAAAAGATTATAAAAAAGTCTTGTTAAATATCTCTTATGACATTACTAATAAAATCACAACATATCTTCAATATAAATTCAAAGACATTCTATTGGCACTAATAGTAAGTTATCCGAATATCCCATTACAATTGAATTCAAAGTATGATATTATTAGCTAATGAGATAGTATCAATTACGATGTTTATTAATAACTATATTTTTTAAATACCCTTTTTTAAACAATTTATTTTTAATATAGAAAAATAAGTCACATATATATGATATTTCAATAAGATCTATACTCTTTCTTTTACATATATCTCGCTTTTTTTGATCATATGTTTGTTAACTATTTAAATCTATCTTGCCTCACTTATGAAATATTGGATTCTCAGAAAAATGTTGAGGCTCTTGAAATTCATATGCCAATTTTAACTCTTTGTTATACCCATCTAATTGCATCCCATTCAAAAATAATGGTTTACAAGGTGAAAATTTCTTACCTAGCAGATCTTTAAAAATATATCGAACAGATCTTTAAAAATATATT